GTGAGCGGGCCAATATATACGAGCTCACGAGAGCCGCTCCACAATGAAGAGCTGTAGCTTCTGCTGACGGGACGCTTTCCTCGTCTGCTGATTCAGCAATACTTTCTGCTTCGCTTGACACCAGCGGATTCTTCTTTCATTTCTGAGGGTTTGAAGCAAGACCCGAGGATTCATGACGAGAATCTGGAGACAAATCTTCAAATCAGTTCTGAACGGAGTCAAAAAATGAATCAATTCTTCAGAACACTGGCAGACACTTCACTCTTATTCTGATTTAATTGATATACTAGTATACTAAATATGATCATATTTTGAATTAAGATTTATTTTATGTTTTCCATTTGCATTTTGAGTTAGTTTTAGTCATTTTGTGAGTTTTGTCATTTTATTAGTTTTATTTTAATATTTCTATTTTTTTTCAGTAAAAAAAAAAAACAAAATCAGGAAATCATCTGAATGTTTGTAGCTGAAATAAAATGTTTTGTTTTTCATTTCATGTAATGTTTTTTGTTTTTTTGTTGACAATATTTAGAATTTTGTTTTTTTTATATTTTCAATTTGTATTTTAATAAATAATAAAAAAATCATTTTGTTTTTGTAATTTTTACTAGTTTTTATTATACTTTTTTGTAATTTTTATGTTTTATTTTTTTAAATACCTGTATAGTTGTTATTAATCTTTTATATAAAAAGCTAAAAAAGCTATTTTATTTTATTTCAAGTATTTTTGTGTTTAAGTTAATAATATTTTGAAATGTTCCATTTGTATTTTAATGAATACATGTAATCAATAAATAAATACATGTAATTTTTGTAATTTTTACTAGTTTTTATTATAATTTGTTTGTCATTTTTATAAGTTTTCTTTTTTAAATTTATATAGTTTTTATTAATCTTTATTCCAGATGTTTCAAATTCGTTTGAATTTTTAGTTAATTTTTTTGTTGTAATTTCTGTTTTATGTCTATATAGTTTTTATACATTTTTATTTACATTTTAATTGTAGGTATTTAAGGTAATCAACTCAAACTAAATGAAAATGAGAGATGTTGCAGCTGAAATAAAATAAGTATAATAAAACAAGTTTTTAGTTTAATTCAACAACAATAACTCAACCACACAGACTACGAAAAGAGCTTTTATTGAGCATAAACTGCTGTTATTGCTTCACTTTCTCACTCACTCGTGACACGTTTATGAATCAGTGGATCGAAACTAACTTCTGCTCAATTCACTGTAAATAAATACATATTTTAAGCATCTTTTGAAATGCTGATCTGATCAAATTGATTCGTTTTATTTGATCAAATCCCAGAATTCATCAATAATCCACTGATACTTACTGATCTCTGTGCGGTTTCCCTCCAAACTGATGTCACTTCCTGCAGGATGATGTTATTCAGGAAGTGGCTTCTCTTAGTTCAAGGGATTTTATAAAAGACAATACTCACCAGAAAACATGTTTAGAAAATGAAGAAAAATATTTTAATATCATATAAATATATTTTAAATAGATTTCTTAAAAAACATTCATATTTGAGTTTCTTCAGAGGTCTGAGTGGACTGAATGAGTTCATATAAACACACCGAGCTGCTGATTTCTTTTTCTGACAGAAATCAACGAAATCAAGTCAAAAGGTTAAGCTTTTTATGGAACTGACACCAAAAATGAACTAAAAAAAATAATAAAAAATTACAAAACCAAAAATTGTATTCCCTCCAATCACTTCAAATTTTTTTTTTTTTTTTACATTTTATTCATCAATCTTCATCCATTTAATATTTACATTCAACTGATATTTTTGTTTACCTCATCAAAACGTCATCATAGTAATGCCAAAAATTCTAATATATATATATATATCATGTTAAAATAAAAATTGAATGTTTTTTTGTTTTATTAATATTTTTAATTAGCTTTTATTTTTTATATTTTTCATTTGGATTTTAATTTTAATGTTTTTGTTGTGTTTTGCCATTTTTATTTGTTTTTTTAAATGTCTGTTTTTATTCATTTTATTTCAGTTTTAGGTATGGAAATCAACTTGAACTAAATGAAAATGAGAAATGTTGTAGCTGAAATAAATTGTTTTTGTTTTCGTTAATATTAAATTACTTTTTATTTTATATTTTCTATCTGAATTTTGAATTTAAAAAATATTTCTATACAGTTTTAATTTTTATTTCAATTTTAGTTTCAGATGTTTAAGGAAATCAAATGACCAAATCATCAAAATGTCATCACTATAATGTAAAAATTATACATTAAAAGCAATATATGTTTTTTTTCTTATTATTTATACATTTGTCATGCTCAACATTTCACCTCACCAAAATCTCATTATTTTAATTATACTTTATTTAAATTAAGCATAAGAAATGTATATGATATTTTCTGGCATGAAAAAAAAAATCTCTTTGTGTGTTCAAATATTAATGATTAATAAAACAAGAAGACGTTTGTGTCAGTGTATGTGTCTAGTGTTAATAATTGTGTAAATCACAGCAAGCGACTCGAGAGATAGTGAAACAAAACGCTGCGTTTAATGATTACAATCAAAAAAGTCCAACAACATTCACTACTGAATGAATGCTGCCCACTTTATTGGCCATAATTACGTTTACAAACTCCAGAGGGTTCGGGGAACAGAGAGATGAGCGGTAGAGAAGAGCGAGTGTGTTATTCAGGAACGTCACGGACAGATTCCGTCTCACAAAGCAATAAATAAAAGAAAAATATCACACAACTAAAAACTGCAAAGTCAAATGAAGTATAAAAAAGGTTTAAAAGAAAAAGCCGACATGTCTATGGAAACTTCAAGTAGAGGGATTGGTGTCCCAGTGTCCAGTGCTGCAGGAGGGGCTGGAAACAGACTTTTCTAGCAAACATCTCAAGTTAAACGTCCTGAACCCTGTTCGAACCCATTAATCCTAGAACCAGACCAGAAAACACAAGCCAAGCCCAAACTCCAGCCTCAAACAAACATGCTTGCTAGAAAAGTTTGTGCTGGTTCTCGGGTGGGCGGGGCAGACTGT